CACACACACACACACACACACACACACACAGACACACACACACACACACACACACACACACGCTCAAGCACACATGCCCATGAGGTACACTTTGTGCATTTGTTCAGGCTTCCCGTGTGTAACCCAGCTCCCTCCCACATAAGCCTCAGCCCAACCCAGCTCCATCCCACACCACACAGTAGCATATATTTCCCTGAGTTCATTCACCTGGGCAGTGTCTTCTCTCCTAGCCCTCTGTGTTCAATATGCACTGACGCTGGAAATAAGCCTTTGAAGTGGGTTTAACCAACAGGGAGAAAAGTGAAAATCAGGAACCAAGAGGCACAAACTTAAAAGGAAAACACACACTAGCATTACTAGGACACAGGTGCTGCTCTGCAGAGCATAAGAGGAAGACCCAAGAGCTGGCGCAATGGAACGGAGACCAGGGCAAGGATGATGACTGAGCTTTTCAAAGATTTATTTGTATTTGCTTTGTGAGGTTTTGCCCACATGCATAGCTGCGTATCACATGCACGCAGTACCTGCAGAGACCAGAAGAGGGCAGTGGACCCCCTGGAACTGGAGTCACCGTTATTTTTGTGAGTCGCCGTGTTGAGAGCTGAGAATTGAACCCAGGTCCTTTGGAAGAGCAGCCAGTGTTAAGCCACCTCCCCGGTCCCTAAGACTAAATGTTTTTATAATGGTGAGGGGGGAGGATTCTTAGCATGGCTCCAAAACAAGACTTTATGTGCGAAAAGTCTGATAAACGGCGCTGGTCCCCACGTGGAGAGGCCACGGTCACGACATGACCAGTGTTAGTTTTCAGGGCTTTATTAGGAGGGAAAGGGGGGGGGAGGGAGAGAGGAGAGCCAGGCCTGGAGAGAGAGATAGATGGTGGGGTGGGGGAGAGGGGAGCAGAGCAGAGAGAGAGGGTAGGGGTCTGTGTCCAGCTTTTTGAGGTGCATTGTGTGACCATGCATACGTAGTCCAGCGCACACTGATGACATAAGACACAAGACCCTGAACTGCGCATGTGCAGTCATGAAGCCGGAGTGAGGGCAGAATGCTAAGTGTGTGTTCACCAACGAGCCATCTTCTGGCCCCCAAACCTAGAGTCGTCACATTATAAAAGAAAACTTTAATCCAGGACACATGCTCAGTAAGGAAAGTCCTTAAATAAACATGGTAGATCTGTGCCGGGAAGCTATTAAAACTGTTTAATTTCTGTTGTGCACCCCAGCCTGGGGAGATATCCAGCCCGTCAAACAACCTGATAAAGGCAGTGCTGTTGCATTTAGCTGGGAAAGGTCTGCTCAGGGTAAAAAACCAAAACCAAAACCAAATCATATTTGGGGGCTGGGGAGATGGCTCAGCCAGAAAAGCTCTTGGGGCCTCAGTGTCCACGTAAAAAGCAGGACATGGTAGCATACACCAACTAGCACTGGGAGGCACTGGTCGGGGAGCCTAGCTGTTCTAACCTAACTGGTGAACCCCAGATGCCATCCACAGATTCTGTCTCACAAACAAGGAAGATGGCTCCCGAGGGATGACAGCTGAGGGTGCCCTCCCTCACTAGAGAACACACATACATACACACACGTGTGTCCCCACACATACACAAAACATACCTATTTGCTCAGGGGAACCACCTGAATTGATTTCCGGGATGCACAGGTGCGTACAGACAGTCATGCATGTTCTCTAGGGGACAGGAGTGCATGGTGCACGCCACCACCCACCCCACCTTAAGGGGCCCTACGCACTTGTGAGTAGACCATCCCTCACGAGTTGATGGGATTCTGTTCAGTTCCAACACCGCGATTTCCTCCTTGGTTCCCTCAGGCGAGGGAGCCAGGGAAGAGCAGCTGCGGCCCACCAGCAGGGAGGCCTGCCTTCTCTTCCTGAGTTCCCTTCTTTGTGAAACAGAGTGAAGATCTTTGAAGAGAAATTCCGAGTCCCTCTGGTTGCCCTGTTCCGTATGCCACCGAAGGTCTCGGGTGTCTTCGTGTGGTTTAGCGTTCATGCTGGGCATCAGAATTCTGCGGGGCAGGTCACGGTTTGCTCTGGGACATTCAAGGGTATGAGGCTGGGCTAAAGACTCAAGGGCGGGCCCACCCGTTGTCTTCCTGCAGCACACACAGCCCCTGCTGAGCCCAAGGCTACTCCAGAGTCCACAAGGAGTTGCCATGACCCTCTGGGTAACGGCTGTGGTGGGCACCGTGCAGGAAAGGAGGGCTTCCATGACGATGGAGCCAGGTCCATCCCGCCGGGGGAAGTGGCCTGACCAGGCTGTTGCTGCTCTCCTTTGTTCTCCTACGCAGATCCTAGAAAACACCCCTGAAAACCACCCTGACCACAGCCACCTGAAGCATGCCCTGGAGAAGGCAGAAGAGCTGTGCTCCCAGGTGAACGAGGGGGTGCGAGAGAAGGAGAACTCGGACCGGCTGGAGTGGATCCAAGCCCACGTGCAGTGTGAAGGCCTTTCTGAGGTAGTGGCCCGCTGGCCGGGACCTGGACCCTTAGCTGACCGGGGGCAGGCAGCACAGGAGGACTGAGTCAAGTGGCTGTCACTTTCTGCTCTGGCCCACGGCTCATTCTCCCTTCAGCCGCTAATCTGCTCGCCAATACAACCAATGAGTATTTTTAATTTCCATTATATCATTTCCCATTGCCAAAAATTATTTATTTTTTTGAATGTCCCAGTTTCTTTTGTGTGTCTTGTTCCTTGTTCAAATGTTCATGCTTCTTATTTGTTTCTTAACACACTTTAAGCATATTCATGTGTATTTCAATTATCTTTTTTCTTTCAGATTTATTTATTTATTGTGTACACAGAAGAGGGCGCCAGATCTCATTACAGATGGTTGTGAGCCACCATGTGGGTGCTGGGAATTGAACTCAGGACCTCTGGAAGAGCAGTCAGTGCTCTTAACCTCTGAGCCATCTCTCCAGCCCATATTTCAATATCTGATAGTCTCATTATCTAAGGGTCACATTCTTTTGCCTATGGTTTCTGACAGCTCTCACTCAGCATGCCTTATTTTCCTATCTGTACTGTGAGTTTTTTTCTTTTTTCTGTACCAGCATTCAGACCTAGGGCCTCGTGCATGACGGTTAGATGCTAATTTACTGAGCCACACTCTCAGCTCCATACTATATTGTGAATTTTGACTGTGAGCTAGTTGTTTTTGAAACTTCCCCTGTGTGTATCTTTGCTGCTCAGGCTTGCATTTCCCCTGAGTGGCTCGCTACCCAGGCCGCCCTGTGTTATCCTTAGAGGGAATCTGGGGATCACATGGCACAGGTGTGAGGAGAGCTGCCCAGTGGCCACAGAGTCCAGGCAGCTTGCTCGCTCCACTCACCAAAGCGGAAACCAGCAAAGTTTCCCTGCTTAGTTCTCTGCACTTCGGTTTGTTCTTAACCTGTCCGGTCAGCCTTCATCAGGAGAGCCATTCGGCTCGGTCCTTCACCTCAGCCTCAGATCCACCTGTCAGCGGGTCCACAGGGGACTCAGGGCTGACGCTGCCTCTGGAGTTTGATCTTGGAATAATCTTGTTTTCATTCTGCTTTGTTGAGGCTCTGCACATTTCCTCTTAGTTTATTTATATTTTGACTGCCTTTCATTTTAAAGGTGTTTTGTAGTTTGCTCTTTTTGAAAAGCTTGTGTTGACGGGTCATCTGGATTTCTAAGCCACGCGCTCGTCTTTGCTGGTCTTTCACACTCTCACTGTCGCTCACATTCACTCTTACTCTGCCTGTGTTTTCTCTGTGTTGGGGCACATGGGTGTGCAGACACATATGTGTACACTCATGCACACATGTGTACTTACAGATTGCTAGAGTTTTCCAAAACGCCCAGGGAGAATGAGTCTCACTCACCATCCTTCTCATGGTTTCTCACTCATGGGAGAACACCTTCACTGTGTCCTCCCCATGCCCCACATCTGCCCTCTTCAGGAAGGTGTGCTCCAGCTCACAAGCAGCCTTTTGGAAGCCCAAGTGGTGGCTGTGGGTCCTCCTCTTAGAGCCCAAGGGCAATCTTCCGCTGGCCGGCTCATTCGTTTATACATACAAGGAATCATTTCTTTTTCTTTTTTCTTTCTTTTTTGTTTTTGTTTTTGTTTTTGTTTTTTGTTTTTTGTTTTTTTGAGACAGGGTTTACTGTGTAGCTTTGGTGCCTTTCCTGGAACTCACTCTGTAGCCCAGGCTAGCCTTGAACTCACAGAGATCCACCTGGCTCTGCCTCCCGAGTGCTGGGATTAAAGGCGTGCGCCACCCACCACCTGGCACAAGGAATCATTTCTTATCTGCTCCTATGTTATTGTTCAGTAGTCAACCCCAAGCACATTTTAAAGAGAGAGAAAGAAAGATTGGGACCCGTAGGGCCTTAGAGCTGGCTCAGCCGTTGGGAGTCCTGGCTGCTTTTGTAGAGGACACGGGGTTCAGTTTTGAGCACTCACAGGGTGCCTCACAACTATCTGTAACTCCAGTTCCAGGGGACGGGGCATCCTCTTCTGGCTTCCACTGATCCCAGGCATGCCTGTGGTGCACAATCACACAATCAGGCAAAACACTCATCGCGTTAAAAAAAAAAAGTGTCTCCTACATTGGAGAGATTATGAGGCTGCTTTGTGCTTTTGCTAGGAGCCTAGAGATCAGTTTAGTCCTCCCTGCCGGTCAAGAGAGTTCCTGTTGGCCTGTCAACATCAACTTTCCAGGCTCCCTCAGAGCCTCGGCAGGGAGATTAGAAGTCGTCCATCCTTAGACCCAAAACTGAAGGAGAATAGACTTTCCTTGTCACCTCTAGGTCTCTGGTCACCAAATCACTGTTGTCTCCCACGTTGGAGGTGGACAGGTAGCCACCAACATCTCTTTGGGGACATTTATTGTGAGTTCCATGGCCTCTCTCCAGGTATTTTCCTCAGAGAAGTGTGTTTGTGATCATGATCTGGAGAGACATTTTCTCTTGAGCAGATCACATAAGGTAACTGGGCCATGGGCTGGCCTGAGAGGACAGCCCCTGGGGAGATCCCGGGGCCACACACGAGCATTCACAGCTGTGACTCAGTGTTGGTGAGTTTCTAAACTAGTAAGTGGCGTGAGACTCAGCATGCACCACACTGTTGGGGAGGGTTTTGAGGGGTCACTTGGCTCCCCAAATTTTGCAGCCCCCCTGGTCCTGGGGTCTGGACTGTGCATCTGGGAAAGCAGCATCTGTCCACGAACTTAGACATGGATGCTGCCCCTTTCCAGACCACTGAGGGCTATTTGAGCCCTGTGGGGATTTCCTGTTGGAGCTGGTTCTTGCTGTTACTTGGGTGTAGCACCCCACATGGAGCAGATAGCCAAGAGGGGAGCTAGTGGGCCAGCTTTTTCCTGACGCCCCACTTCTCAGTAAATGAAGGGAGGGACACACCCACCCCACCCTGAGATTAGAGCGAAGCCCCCGCGGAAAGGCCTTGAGAATTGAACCCGGAAACCCCGAGCCTTTGCCTTCTTGGCTCGGCCAGCTGCTGCCGGGATCCTCAGAACCATTCTTGTCTTGTATGTGGGATTCAGACCCCCCGCCCCCCGCGGGGGTCCAGCGTTCATACTTCGAGACCGAGAAACAAAAACAAGACTCCCTTCACCTCGCCTTCTCCCTGTCTGGTTGCCTTTTCTAGCAACTGGTGTTCAATTCGGTGACCAACTGCTTGGGGCCACGCAAGTTTCTGCACAGTGGGAAGCTGTACAAGGCCAAGAGCAACAAGGAGCTGTACGGCTTCCTCTTCAACGACTTCCTCCTGCTGACCCAAATCACGAAGCCCTTAGGCTCTTCCGGCACCGACAAAGTCTTCAGCCCCAAATCTAACCTGCAGTATAAAATGTACAAAACGGTAAGGTTCGTGCCAGGCCGCAGGAAGAGGGAGTCTCCAAAAGAAGCCCGTTTCAGAAGGGTTTGGTACCACAGTGTGTAGAAAGCGAAGGGGAGGGGCTAAGAGTAAGGGGTGGGTCTAAGACAGAAAGGGGAGGGGCTGGGAGGAGGAGCTAGGATAGAGTAAGGGGAGGGGCCAAGATAGAGTAAGGGGAGGGGCCAAGATAGGGCAAGGGGAGGAGCTAGGATAGAGTAAGGGGAGGAGCTAGGATAGAGTAAGGGGAGGGGCCAAGATAGAGTAAGGGGAGGGGCCAAGATAGGGCAAGGGGGGGAGCTAGGATAGAGTAAGGGGAGGGGCCAGGATAGAGTAAGGGGAGGGGCCAAGATAGGGCAAGGGGAGGAGCTAGGATAGAGTAAGGGGAGGGGCCAGGATAGAGTAAGGGGAGGGGCCAAGATAGGGCAAGGGGGGGAGCTAGGATAGAGTAAGGGGAGGAGCCGGCAGAGCAGAGGACTGTCCACGCCCACCTTTGTTCACACAATCCTACTGGGGGACCCCCACTGCCCATGTGACAGGCAAAATCATGGCTCACTTCACACACGTGAACAGATAACACGGCCACCCCGAGTACCCCCTGCCCCTTCCACAACTGCCCCAGATGCCCTGACAAACTCTTACCATCTGTGCCCTTCCCGTTCGCTTCAACGTGTGGAAGGCTCCTCTGAGCAGAATACCGGGTCCCGTGCACGCAGGACTGTGTTTGTGTGCTGTTAGCCGTGGGAGACTTATTTCCTAACTTCGCCTATGTGGGGGTGTCTTTCCTCAAGGGTTCTCATGGGAGCAGCGGTTAGCTTTATTTGGGGAGACAGTGATGTGATTATGTGGAGTACTGATAGCGTCTTCGTATGGAAATCCCGGGAGAGACTCTCTTAGATGCTGACTGCCGTTTAGGATGCAGTGCAGGGAAACAGACCCGTTAGGGCCTCCTTGTAAGGACTTTAAAGGTACCTATAAAGTGAACGTAGCTTTATATGAATGTCAGTACCAATGGGGCTGGAGAAATGGCTCAGGGATTAGAAACGCTTGCTGCTCTTCCAGAGGACCCGGGTTCAGTTCCCAGCACCCACATGACTGCTCACAACAACCGTCTGTAACTCCGGTCCCAGGTGACTTGATTCCCCCCTCTTCCAGCCTCTGTGGGCATTGCACACTTGGTGCACAGACATTCGTGCAAACAAAACACCCTTATACATTAAAAAGTTAGTTTGCACATAAAATCTGTATTCTGGTATAGTCTGTGCACGGAACTACACCCTCGAACCACAGCCTTCCCCTAGGTTACCGGGTCTCACTCCACACATTCACATGCTCAGTGTAGTTTACTGACGTTCACAGGCAGGCATGCACTCACGTATGTGCTCGTATTGCACACTCAGAGCTTGGTGAACACACAAAGCGCCTGCTTTGTTCTGTGACACCTTTTTTATTATTACGTTACAGCCTATTTTCTTAAATGAGGTTCTAGTAAAATTGCCCACCGACCCTTCTGGAGATGAACCCATCTTCCATATTTCCCACATCGACCGAGTCTACACCCTCCGAGCGGAGAGCATAAATGAAAGGTAAGCCCCGCCCCTCCCCAGTACAGGATGCCGGCCACTTGTCAGCATGCCCAGCATGCCCCAGCATTCCCAGCCGCAGTTCTACCACCTCTGTGTGCAGGGAAGGATTATACACACTACCTTTTAGAACTTCTCAAAAGTTGGACATCTGGGATGATGTTTTTCAAAATAAAATGGACTGAAATCAGCTTTGCTCGGGGCTTTCTCTTTCCTCTCTCTCTCTCTCCTTTTTTCTTTCAAAATGCTTAGCAGCCTTTGAGGTAATCCAGAGCTGCTTAGATCACCCCAAGTTTCCCAGGAGATAGAAACCTACTGGACAGTGATTTGAGACTAACCCCGCCCCCAGCACCCGGGGACAGCAATCTGGGTCTCTGGGTTGCCGGTGTTTTGCTTCAGTCTTATCTTAGACTATCCTGGAGCCAAATGGAACAGATCACTTTCTCAAGAGTGAGCTTGACACTAGGCCAACAACATTCCCAAGAATATTCGTGCCAGGCAAGAAGATTGGCTAAAGTTACTTGTGCATATGGCACCCAGAGAAAACCCGCTCGCCAAAGCGCCTCCCGCTGTGTGCTTTGCGGGAAGTGGTTCTTCCCTCTGTCTTCGTGGGTCCGCCAAGTATGCGATGCTTTGGGTGAGGGAGGAAGAAGAGCCGTGTGCCTATCCCTCCTCCAGCCTTTATTAGACTTTCTTCATGGGAAACACGAAGATCTTGAGTACATCTGTTGCTGATGGGCAGGGCTGTGATTCGGGTAATAGAATGCTTGCCTCAAGTGCGCAAAATCCTAGGTTCAATTCCGAGCACCCCATAAACCAGTTACAGAAGTGTGTGCATGTAATCCCAGCACTCAGAAGGTGAAGGCAGGGGGTGGAGTTCAAGGTCATCCTTGATTACTTAGTGAGTTCACCACCAGCTTAGACTAACTAAACTGTATGAGACCCTGTCTCAAAAAAAAAAAAAATGCCTTTCTTACTGATGATAGAGATAATTATTAGCATCATGTAATAAGAATCAGTCTTTCTTTTCTGAGCCTTTGTTGTTAAATTCAAATAAACCAAGTTAAAAGAGTTCTGGAAACAGAATTTGAGCAGACCCCAAGCCCGTTCTGTTCCGAGCGGTCTGTTTGGCAACATTCTGTCTTTTCCTGTCCAAGGACTGCCTGGGTGCAGAAAATCAAAGCTGCCTCTGAGCTCTACATAGAGACCGAGAAAAAGAAGCGTGAGAAGGCGTACCTGGGTAACGTGCCACTGAGCAGAGTGCATCGGGGCCCAAGAGGCTGGGTGGGAGAGCCACGGGGTTGTCCCAGTGTCTCCGGGGCTGGAACACGAGCATGCGCAGAGAAGGTGGGAGCAAGGTGGGGCGCTGGATGACGGATGACGGGCAGATTCCGAGAGCAAGAGGCGGGAGGGGGCTTTGCTTTCTAGTGGGGGCAGATGCTCGGTACAGACGGTGGGCATGCTGGGGAGAGGAGGGCGTCAAAGCGAGCGTGAAACGAAGCATTTTGTGTTGTTTCCTTGCGGTCCAGTCCGTTCCCAGCGGGCAACCGGTATTGGAAGGTTGATGGTGAACGTTGTAGAAGGCATTGAACTGAAGCCCTGTCGATCCCATGGTAAGGGCCATGAATTCCACTCAGGCACTCTAGAGTATTGGGGTGTTTCCTGCCTCCCCCCCGCAGCCAACTTGACATCACGTATGCTATTTCTTGTGTAAATTTCCCGCGGGCATTGGTTTTTCTAGCACTTGCCAAAGTACCATATATATGTGTGTGTATGCATATATGAGCACACATAATTTTTATCAATTCTTTTCCGTTGTCTTGCTTTTCAGGAAGACCTGAGAGGCCTCATTCATAGTACATGTGGCATAGTACACGTGACGTAGGTACACAGATAGGGATCTGATTTTGAGCCTTGCTAACGGATTTGTTCTTCTAGACGTGATACTAAAATATGGGTGTGCCCACCAGATTTCCCACCTGTTAATTCTCCAAGGTCGAGGGGGATGGAAATGAAATGTGTCCCACCTGGCAGGGGCTTTTGTTCACTCCAGGAAAGAGCAACCCATACTGTGAGGTGACCATGGGCTCTCAATGCCACATCACCAAGACAATCCAGGACACACTGAACCCTAAGTGGAATTCCAACTGCCAGTTCTTCATCAGAGACCTGGAGCAGGAGGTTCTCTGCATCACCGTGTTCGAGAGGGACCAGTTCTCACCTGATGGTGAGTGGAAAATGGCCCTCGGGGCTCCCTTGGTCCTGCCTACCATCTTATAGGGGTCCATGCTTCCTTACCTGAGAACCCGAGCCCGGCGAAACTTGGGCTTTCCTGAGAGGCCAGGCTGGCGTGGTGCAGGAGCTGCTGGAGCTTGAGCTGGTCACATCACTAAACTAGACATTGGTCCGATTTCCAACGCAGGCGGCTATGAGGAGGGGCAGCCTAGGAACCTCTATGTACTTTGTTTGGTTTTCTGTCCTTGACTATCACCAAGGCTCAGAAAGTAAAGGCACATGCTGCCAAACCTGATGGTTTGAGTCGGATCCCTCGGACTGACGTAGCAGAAGGGGGAAACTGACTCCTGTGAGTTGCCCTCTGACTCAACACATGCCATGGCGTGTGCACATACACACACAAGATAAATACGTAAATGTTTTAAAAAGCGATGAGAGAGCCATCCTTGGTGGGTCCCACCTATAATCACAGCATTCAGGAGGCTGAGGCAGGAATTAGGAGTATGAAGCCAGCAGGGCTATGTAAGGAGACCCTGTTAAAAATGTAAAAGACATCGGGCAGTGGTGGCGCACGCCTTTAATCCCAGCACTCGGGAGGCAGAGCCAGGCGAATCGTTGTGAGTTTGAGTCCAGCCTGGTCTACAAAGTGAGATTTAGGACAGGCTCCAAAGCTACACAGAGAAATCCTGTCTAGAAAAAAACCAAAACAAACAAATAAAAAAAACCCCAAAAAATGTAAAAGACAGGGAATAAAGCTGGCTGGTTAGTGGAGCAAGAAGAGTGTTAGCCCATAATGGGTTCTTCAGAGTCAGCTGGTAGCCCACCGGAGACCTGAGAAGCTTCCGTTGTGTGGAACATGTCCTCCCTTCAAGCTGCTTTCTCTTTCTGGGGCGATTTTTGGCCAGTGAACCCAGAAAGCCACACTCTCTCAGCCAAATCAAAATCAGAGTCTGAGTTTAAAGCTCAAAGTCTCAGTCATCATCAGAGGAACATAAGCTGAAAGCCAGGGCCTGACGCTGGCATTGTGTGGGCCGAGCTGAGAAGGCTCCACGAGGCTTTCATATCTTAGTACTTTTTTTAAAAAATTAATTATTTTTACATCTCAACCACAGTTTCCCCTCCCTCTTAGTAGTTTTTGTTTTGTTTTTTTTTCTTTTTCTTTTTCCAAGACAGGGTTTCTCTGTGTAATCACCCTGGGTGTCCTGGAACTCTCTCTGTAGACCAGGCTGGCCTCGAACTCACAGAGATCCGCCTGCCTTTGCCTCCCAAGTGCTGGGATTAAAGGTGCGAGCCGCCACTGCCCAGCCCTTTTAGTACTTTTAATATAAATGATCTCGTATGAGTTATGCCTTGTCAGTTTGCCTAGTGACGGCCTTGCAGCTGCTTGCACATCAGAATGTGACCAGAACACCATGTCTAGGAGCTCTGGGGTCTCAGCCACTGGGCTCTATTATCAGCCTCTACCCTAATAAGTCAAAGTTTGGAATAAGAATTAAAAAAAAAAAAAAGAGGTACAGTCAGTTATGGTGGCACACACCTTTAATCCCAGCACTCAGGAGACAGAGGCAGAGGGATCTCTGTGAGTTCGAGGCCAGCCTGGACAGTTCGGGTCAGCCAGGGCTATATACAGAGACCCTATCTCAAAACAAACAAGCAAACAAACAAACAAACAAAGTACATGTATATAATGTGTGTGAATGTATGTCATGTGTATGTGTGTATGTTGTGAGTGTAGGTACATGTGGAGTCCAGAAGAGGGCGTCAGAACCCTTGGAGCTAGCAGTACAGGCTGTTGTAAGCTACTCCATGTGGTACTTGGCAACTGAATCTCAGGTCCTCTGGAAGAGCAGCATCTCTCTCTCTCTCTTTCTCTCTCTCTCTCTCTGTCTCTCTCTCTCTCTCTCTCTCTCTTCCTCTCTCTCTCTCTCCTCTCTTTCTCGTGTGTGTGTGTGTGTGTGTGTGTGTGTGTGTGTATGTAAAACTTGGGTGTGATCACTAAGGAGCTGTCTACATTGTGTTTGAGGTAGACTATCTTATTGGCCAGGAGCTCACTGATTGGCTCAGCTAGCTGTCCATCTTGTCTCTACCTCCTCAGTGTTGGGGTGACAGGTCTATGCCACCATACATGGCTTTATTTATTTATTTATTTTTTGCTGGGAATTGAATCCCAGGCTAATGTGTTCTAGATAAGAACCATATCGGGTGACCCCTCTAGCTGCTTGCCCAGGTCTAAAAACAGTGTATGTGTGTTTGCCTGTGTGAGTTTGTGTGTTCCACATGCATGTAGGAGCCCATGGGAACCAGAAGAGGGCGTTGGATCCCATGGAATTGGAGTTACAAGTGATTGTGAGCCACCATGTGGGTGCTGGGAACCGAATTCAGGTCCTCTGGAAGGGAAGCATGTGCTCTCATCTCTCCAGCCCATGCCTGGTTTTCTTTTTAAATATGGACCCTGGAGATCAAATTTATGTCCTTGTGCCTGCAAGGCAAGTGTTTTTACTGACTGGTCCATCTCCTTGACCCTATTAATATATTTTAAAATAGACGCAGGGTTATCGCAATAAATGCATATAATGTGTAACAATAAGTCAGGGTAGTTGGTATACCCTCCATCTTGGATATACTTTGTTTTGTTTTATTGAGAATGTTTAAAAACCTTCTTTGGTTTTTTTAGCAGTGAAATATCACAGCACATTGACAACTCCATGGGGAAGTCAATTGGAAAGGCTAGCGCTGGTCTTCTCAGTGGTCTTTGAAGAGGTGGAGCCTGGCCACGCCCTAGAGAGTCCCAGTGTCATGAGTGTGCCCCTAGGAGACAAGGAGCTCTTTCTGAGCATGCTTTGCTTTTTCTCCTTTCAGATTTTTTGGGTCGGACAGAGATCCGAGTGGCTGACATCAAGAAAGACCAGGGCTCCAAAGGGCCCGTTACGAAGTGTCTTCTGCTGCACGAGGTTCCCACGGGAGAGATTGTGGTTCGCCTTGACCTGCAATTGTTTGATGAGCCATAGCAGCCCTGGGATGATCATAGAGGACTTCCTTCTCTCAAGGCCCCCCACGCTGTCTGGTGGTCAGCCACGGGCCAACGGGGACAGCATGGACAGAAGCCCCTCAGGGCTACTAGAATTAGTTCTCGACAATCCTGCCCTTCAAACCATGTCCCATTTTATGAATCCAAATTCCCTTTTCCTTTGTCTTCACTACAGGTCTCATCATGGCTTCTAGAGTCTCTGAAATCCATGACCTTCAACTAGCTTCCCTTGGGAGCCCGGCTCTGTCCCTGGGCTGGAAGTGTGGGTCTGGTTGCGATAAAAGAGATTTATAAATGCAGTGACTGTATTTTGGAGAACTTGTGTAGGCCTCCTGTTTCTCACCTCTACAAGCCGCTTTGTAGACTACCTGGCCGATGATGCCCCGTGCGTGGTGTGTTTAGTCTGACTGAACTAAGTGAAGGAATCGTTGCTGCTTTGGCGTCCAGCTCCCCCTGGGAAATGGGGCCCTGGACTGAATGCTGGGCACAATGGCTCCTGGAGCAGACACTGACTTGGCTCTCTGGAGAGCTGTTACCGGAAGTTTCTCGAGTGTGCATTAGACCACTTCAGACCTCAACTAGAGTCTATCAGTGAAAAGGCACTGGTGTACTATGGGGTGGTTCAAGGTGTGCTTGGAGGATGGTTCTGGAAGCTCATCTGTGACGTTCGGTCCTGATGCGTTAGGTCTACTTCGGGTCACTGGGAAGGCTCAAGGACATCATGGAGTCCTGGTTGCTGACTATTATCAGAACATTGTCTTTGGGCTTGGAGGTCCTGAGGAGCCCTGTCTGGTGACCAGCCTGAGCTGATTCTGTGGTTGAATGCACTGGATCCTGACTGTTGCGGGAAACTTCAACAGCAAGCTGTCTTTAGTGGTCACCCCAGGAAGTCATGCCTTAGATGGATGAAGTCTGAAAGAGAAAGGATTCAGGATGGAGTTGGGAGGTGTGGAGAGATGCTAAGAAAATCCATTACTTGGTGGTGGCGGGGAAGACCTTGGGAACATGTGAGCCCCACACATGGGGTAGGAAGATGGGAAACTCTTCCCAAGCTTTCGTGGGCGTACACACCAACTTCTTAATAATAGAAACACATGAACTTTTTTTGCTAGAGTCAGGAGTGTGTGGACCAAGTTTTTGTTTGAATGCTTTAGGTTTTCTTTTCCTTAAGTGCTAAGAGATAGGTTGGTTAACTAGATAACTTGATTTGCTAATGACAAGTGTGGGCCAACTTTTGTTCCTGTGCTGGCATCCTCACACTCCCAGTCTGTGGTCATGATGTGTTCTTTGCATGTCTCTGGATCCCGGGGCCAGGCTTTCCTGTGGTAGGTGGTGTTCTTTTTTACTGTAGGTCCCCAGGATCGAACTAGGGTTCTAGAAGTATCTTATAAATGATAGTGTCTCCGTGGCAGAATAGCCACTCTGCTGACAACTGAATGCTTCATGTGATCTCCTCCCAAAAGGTCTCTCTCTGTCCATGTATGTGTTTCAAGTGATTTTTCAAAAAATGTATGTGGGAAAGGACAACAAAGTTTACATTTCATACTTTTGAGAAACACTTATTATTTATTTATTGAAGATAGTGTTGACTTTTGTATCAAGAACAACAGACATACCTATTTTTTTGAATCACACCAATAAGCTCTTCAGTTAACAGCTTTCAACTGAACATGAGATAGACTTAGTTTAACATCAGGCATGCATTGGCTTACCACTTCCCAGCAGAAAACACTCTTAAAACACTTCACGTTTGTGTTTTTTTTTTTTTTGTGTGTGTGTGTGTGTGTTATTAAGAAAGTGTTCTAAATGAAACATATAAATAGATCTGTAGGTCATGCTTCCCTGTTTCTCTAACCAGGAGGCTTTGCTCGGTATATTGATGAAGGACATGTTCCCATAGTGTGAAAAACAAGTATTCAGTTGCGATTGGCTAGAGTTGGGTCCCCATCCCAGCCCCTTCCTTTCTGTCCCTTAGCCTTTTTCTCCTCGTTACTTTCTTTTCAGGTTAGCGTTGAACGTCAACGTTCCCGTAGGAAGGCTGAGGCATGTGTGGTGACCCCTGTAGGTTGCTTACTCGTAGAATTCCATGATTATAGCACGAAAATGCAGTCTGTGGGTCTTTCCCCCAGGTGACTCTCCTGGACATCCTTGGGGTTGTCCCGGGATTAGTGTCCTTGTATCTACTGTTGTCATTTGTCATGACTGATTGTACTTCTGGATGAGTTGGGCTGACCTTCAGACCCAGCTGTGACTCCAGAGTCCTGCTGGGGAGATGGAGTGCTGCTATGACCCATGGGTGACACAGAGTCTCAAACCCTTGATTCTTGACTCCTTAACTTCTCTTTGAACAGTCAGGCTCCATTTCATACGAATGGCGTATCCTTGCCAACAAAGGAATCTGAGTCCCAGCCGCTTGCTTTGTGAATGCTTGCCCAGGCTATGCCTCCTGGCATCCTGAGCTAGCCCTTCAAACATGCCCCCTCCCAGAGGCATTCCTCTTCTCTGAGCCACACTGCCAGTACCTCCCACACTGACCTCTCCCTCAGAAGGGGCTTTCCTAGAAAGTGACTGTGCTCTGGTCCTGAGAATGATGCTGAGAACTCTGAGGACGGAAGCTCCTTCACTGGGCTTTCCTCGTGGGTCATTGTCCCAAAGGGTCAATTCTGGTCTCTGAGGCAGGGCTGATATTTTGTCCCCCTAGAAAGTGGATAGATAACTTTATCTCTTGGGACTAGTTTGCCGTGTCCACAAGAGTTTGGAGACATATGTAATTCGTTCGGGTCTAGGTCTACCCTAGCTGGAACAAAAGAGATCTTTCTAGACTGGAGTCACCAGGAATGCTAGAGAAACTGGGCAAGGATGCCATTGTCAACTGTTTGTATAATATGTCCCTATCCGTGGACAGCAAACAAGAAACCTCTCTCCCCAAAGAACATTAATGGGAAATGGGCATTTTCCTTCCTTGTTTTGAGACAGGATCTCACTGCATAGCCCAAGCTGGCCTTGAACTTAAGATCCTCCTGTCTCAGCCTCCTACATGCTGGAATTACAAGCATGTGCCACTGTGCTCAGCTGTTTTCATATTTATAAACAAAAATATGACTTTGGTATATAAGGATTTCATCTGGGAGAATTGACCTGAACTTAACTGGAAAAAGAAAATCTAAGAGAACCCGGATCAATGGATCCCTCCCATTGCTCACTACATTTTTGTTTGCTTGCTTGTTTTCCGGAGACAGGGTTTTTCTGTGTAGCCCTGGCTGTCCTAGAACTCACTCTGTAGCCCATCGGTGTGTCCAGGAGGTCAAGGGCACTTGTAAAAGTCATTGCAGGTTGGTCTTCCTAGGGGGTGCAGCAGTGACCTCCCAGGAGTTGGCTGGGCAGGAGTAGACTACTGACCTCATAGAGTCCAGGATGTTCCAGAATCCCGTGAGTCTGAAATCAAGGGCGGATGGATGGGGTCTCCCTGGCTTTATCTGAAAGGTGAAGTACTTCAGCTGGCTGAGACCGTAACCGAGAGACAAAGAGGATCTGTACACCAAGGAATTATTTTCTAGCCCTTCGGGCCTTTCGATGCTTAGAAGAGGCTGGAAGTGTGATGGAGTCTTTTATTCTGCATTTCCTTTCAGGATCCAGGTGTGCTCTGGAGTTGGGATCCCCGCTTCTGCCCTCTCGTTCCTGGAGTGGCCCCATGGGCCTGAATTCTTGTGTTTTCCTTTATTTCCATCTGGTCTCTCCAAAGACACATTGACGATGACATTTCTGGGCACGCTGTACTGGTTAGGCTTCTGTTCTCGGACAGACCTCAGGGCAGAAGTTGCCTTGTACAAGTGGTGGGCACTTCTTTAGAAGAGCCCCAACCTTGCTGGACTAGTAGGAAACAGCAAGGAGTCCCAGTGTGGGTACTAAAGATGCCAGTCTGTCCACCCCTCCACCTCCTGGACACAGTTCCCGTAAGGAGGGCCAGGGCTTGACCTTTTCCAACTACATTGATCGCCTACCTGCCTAGGGTCCCTACCTGCAGGGGCAGGGATGCAAGGTCCATGGGGCCAGGGTGATGCTGGAAAGCAGAAGAAAAAAGGAGGAGAGAAAGAAGGATGGACAGAAGGGAGGGAGGAGGGAGAGCAGGAGAGAGGGGAGAAGGAGGAAGAGGAAAGGGAGGAGGGGGAGAAGGAGGAGGGGGGCAAGGCCAGGCAGTCAAAAAAGATCTTTCAGCAGGCTCCCTCGGCTTTTTGAGCACTTGGCCTCTCAGGCTCTGAAGGGCCAAGTGAGAGCTGCTTGGATTCATGGCTCACCCATGGCCACATCCTCCTTTTAGGAGTTAAAGGACCACATCTTCGAAGAAGAGCCTGGCGATCCCGCCACCCCCACATGCCAGGCAGTCATATTTCTGAAGATGTGACAGCCCGACTCTCCTTGTCACAGAGGCTTCTACCTCCAGGGTAGCAGCCTTCTGAGGGGCAAGTTCCCTTGACCCCTGGGGCATTTTATTGTATTCTGAATGACCCCTATTAATGAATGTTGCCCTGTGATGGGCCAGTCTAGGAAATAATAAAAGGCTTCCTGTTAGTTTTGAGTTGGAATAAACAACTGGCTGGTCGCCACAGAGATTCTTCTCTCCAGTTCCCTGATACCTGGAAAGCAGTTGTTAGAGCTAGAGGAGGAAGTTCTAGAGGCCACTTCCCCACAAGGCACTGCACGAGGTCCCTGTTTGTAGGTCTCCAGGATCAACTAAGATGTGTAATAACTTCATCTCCGAAAGAGCCAGGAAAGACTTTGTCCTTGAGAAGCACAGCCCATGAGAAAGATGGCCATGGTCTCAGCTTCTCTAACTCGAGAAGCCGGCACCCTGGGCAGTCCGTAGTCAGGCGCACGAACACGGTCAGCAACGCTAACGGTGTGTGGTTCCTCCAGGGGCTCCCCCATCCTGTCCAGGCTCCCCCTTAGGGGCTGGGAGGCAGAGAAGCCAACTTTGTGGCTTTCAAGCCAACTTGTAGATCTTGCAGGCTGAGGAGATGGCCCGGTCAGTAAAATGCTCGCCGTGCATGTCTGAGGACCTGAGTTTGATCCCCAGCGTCCGCGTAAGAAAGCCCGGTGCAGCAGCGTGTCCTGGTAATCCCAGTGCTGTGGAGGCCGAGACAAGAGGGTCCTTGGGTTAGTCCCCTAGCGTCGTGAGTGAGCGATCTGGTCTTAAAGGATAAGGTGTAGAGCTGTGGGGAAGACATTCAGGGTTGAGATCTGGGCTCCATGCGCATGGGCTCCTGAACTTACATATGCGCATGTGCACGCACGCACGCACGCACGCACGCACGCACACAGGCGTGCACACAGGCGAGCACGCAGGGATGGAAGCATTAGTGTTCACCTCCAAATAACGACTTCAGTTCTACGTAAACTTTAACTAGTTCCTTCATTAAAAGGAGCTAGTCATTTATATTTTGGCATATCATTCTTCCAGCACTATGTGGCTATCCTGTTTCAGGGTAACTTGTCCCTGTCCTGTGCCAGGTCCTTTATATTTTAATACCATTCTGTTCCGTGTTCTGGACCAACCTGGATTCTCACTGTCATCACAGTGGTGAGTATTTTAGTGTTCAAAGTCCACTCAGGAGAGCTGCATTCATAGTGGACTTATTCTGTCAGCCTTCAGAATACCAAGCGTCCCTCTGGGGTTTCTGGAGAGCTGGTCAGGCACCAAGGCTCCTTTTTATGCTGTGGAGATGCCTCTTTCCCGCTGGAACCGCCTTAAACTTATCATCTTCGAGATTGTCGTCCTCTGGTTTTCTGTCTCTACAGCTGTACTCTTTCGCCGTTCTCTACTCAAACTCAGATTTCTTATTTCCTCCTGTTCTTGGTGAAAACAGAGTGGGGACCCCAGAAAAATAGGAGCCCAAGTCTGGGTGGTGGCTTGCGTGGCAGAAGCTGCCTTTCCATTTGCAGTTTCCCCAGGGTCCCGCTGTTCCTAGACGGTTCGATGGGCAGGTCCCAAGGTGGTGGCGCCTCCTGCTGCCACCTAGCAGCATTGCTCCTGTGTGACGCACAAGGACCTCTAGTGAGGAGGGCAGAGAAAGGGCTGGAACCTGGCAGGTGAGCGCTCTAGCGCTCGCCCAGCCTAGCGGTGAGGGATGGAAGTTAGCATGAACCCAGAGCTGGGCATCTAGTGAGTGGGATTCCTGCCTGCTGGGGCTGGGCTGGCCAGAGGTCCCTTCTCGACTTCCCTACCTTTTCTGTGTCTACTTCAGAGGGGAGCTCAGCAATTCCGTTCTCCACGGAAAAGGGCTGGCCGCCCGAGGGACTCCTAGAAGTCATGTGGCAGTACTCAGCTGGATAGCCGAGTGTCTACCCCAAAACCTCAACTTGGGATATTTTAAGTGGCAAACGTTGGTGAGATGCAGTCACTGGTTGCATGGCGCGTGCCTGTGAGCAAGCGTGTATGTGTGTGTATCAGGCATTGGGGAGGGTTGTGTGTCCGACTGAAGGAGATGGGAAACATGTTGCTCCACCCTTCCTGGCACTGGATTCAGGACCAGCTGGTAATGTGTGACCTCTCTATTCCAAATGATTGGGGATCTCAGTAGTGACAGCTGAGGGAGAGCTGAGCTGGGTCTGGGTCCTCCTGAGTGTGGGCATGCACCTGTCCAGGCCCAACACCCTGGGTCTGGCCTTGACTACCCAGTAGATGTGGAAGGGCTTCTCTATGTCTCTTTTCTTTGGAACGGTCTCCCTGGCAGACTGCAGAGCTGGGGTGGTGACTGTGTCCCTCCTTTCTTCCCGGCTCCCTTCCTTTTCTTTTCTTTTCTTTTCCTTTCTTTTCTTTTCTTTTCTTTTCTCTTCTCTTCTCTTCTCTTCTCTTCTCTTCTCTTCTCTTCTTTTCTTTTCTTTTCTTTTCTTTTCTTTTCTTTTCTTTTCTTTTCTTTTCTTTTCTTTTCTTTTCTTTTATCTTCCTTGCAGTGCTAAGGATCAAAGCCTCATGCATGCTTAGGAAGTGATATGTTTTTCAACACACCCCTCTTTTATCTCCTAAAAGTACAAACAGTCCGGGATAATTAGAGCACACAGGACCCCGGCTCACAATTGCATGCACCCCTGAATGGACAGGGAGTTCTGGTTGATGCTTTCTCAGGTCCCAGTCCAGGTTGTGTCACTGGATATCAGGCAACCTTTGAGCCTTCAAAGTCTAATTCTGTGCTTTGAAATAAAGCCTGTCCCTTAGTCACCCACCAGGGGCTGCTCTCCCTGTCTCTCGGGTCACACAGGATTCTAAACTACTGTCATGGAGAAGATCACAGAAGGGTGAGTGTCCCTGCCCCAGTGACTGGATGCTGGTTCCTCTAGCTACCATTCTCTGGAGAGGGGGAGTGGTTGGAGCCTCTCTGCCCTAGAGGCCAAGTGCCCTCACACGCTAGATCCCCCTTGAGGCTTATGGGTGGCTTTTGGGTGACGTTAGTGAAGAAGAAAGCGTCTGCTGTGTGTGTAACCTCTGAGTTCTAGATGACCAGGGCTCCAGGAAGGCCACGGCTCTGGAGCTGCCCCAGGGCTCCAGGGAGGCCACGGCTCTGGAGCTGCCCCAGGGCTCCAGGGAGGCCACGGCTCTGGAGCTGCCCCTCGTTGCTGTGTGTGTTCTGTTGTATAGCTCTGTTGTACTGGATGCTCCAAGTCCTCTGAGGCTCCGCTTGCTTTTTGCAGATGTAGTCTACATTTCTACACACGCAGAGCAATAATCCTTCCCGAGTTTCCTGGTTCCACTCCTGTAATCCCAGCGCTCCAGAGATGGAGGCAGGAGGATCAGGAACTTAAGATCAACCTCAGCTATAGATGAGTTCAAGGCTAGCTGGGCTTCATGAGACCCTATCTCAAACCTAAAAAACACAAAAACTGACGGAAGGCCCTATCCGTCATGGACTTAAGTCACCTTAAAGGAAAGCAAATTCTTTCCATGGGCCACACTCCCTGGGGGCATCTGAGCACTACTGTGTCAGCATCCATTTAATGAACGTTTTGTAATGCACTTCATCAGTTAACATCCTTAAACTGTTACTTGCTGAATATTTGCTGTGTCAGAACATTCTCGAAAGGGCTCAATGGTCAGACGTGCATTTAAGTGAGCATCCGCTGTTAATGGCCCCAGGTCTCTGGGAACTGAGAGATCAACCTCAGATCTGGTCCACGCAGCCCACAAGCTGAGGCTGCGCCCCTGCCCCTGTGCACAGCCCGGCGTACAGGGAGCGGGCTCACAGTCACCGAGTCATGCTGTCTTAGCTCTTCCTGTCCTCACCATCACACGTGCTGACGGGGAACACAGGTCTACATACCTGTACAGAGGGGAGAGACCGCCACAAAATGACCTCTGTCTGATAGTCAGCTCAGAGCTCCTAGGTTTCTGCATCGTATGCAGTTTCCAATAAAGAAAAAGACAGAAATCCACTACACAATGTGAAAAGGTTGTGCTCTGTATGTGGTCCGTCATGAAATCTCTGCTGTATGTTTTTGGGAATGACGATTATATGTATATACAGTCTGTGAGAGGCCATGCTGCTCAATGTTGCGTAAACTTAACAGATTCTCTAGTCTGAATATGTAACTTGTTATTGTAAAATGTGATTTCTCATTGAGAGATTATTTTTCTGTATGTATATGAGAGTATTTTAGGAATCTAATTTAAGTGCATAAACTATAGAAGAAGCTTAAAGACATATTCCGGGACTAGATATGCTTGATCAGATCACTGGGGTTCAACTCAACTAAATTTTATTAAAAAACAAATCCAAGTTGAATGTTTAGGAATTCAAAAGTGTGAGATTTTTTTTTCCCTCTGCCTTGCAGGGGATTCGCTGTCAATGCAGTGGGTGGAGGTGTGTTAAAATGGAGGGACCCTGCAGCCATGACCTGGGATGAGACTGTGTTACGTGACAGGTTGCCCCACACAGATGGCATATTCTGAAGAGTGGGCACAGCCTGCTTTCCACAACCCTGGTGCACAGACCGTGGGCTCCAGTCAGGAATGCGGTCAGAGCATTCAGGAGCATCCAGGGAGGCCGTCAGCTCTCCTCACCATTGCTCAGCTGTTTGCAGGCAGGGTGAACTTCCTGGAGGCCCAGGCTCAAGCAAGAAGCTGCCTTCCATGTTCCACTCCCTTCCCAGAAAAATATCAGGAGTTCAGGCTGCTTCTGAGCACCGTCGGTATAGACCACCAAGAATGTTCCTTCAGGTGACCCAGGAAGGGGTTGTGAAACTCAGTGTCTAACCTCTCCCCTCTGGCCCCTGCTTCCCGAGAGAGCATCTGCAAGTGACTTGAAGTGGTGACCCCGAGTTCAACCTCACCCACCTGCTTCTCGATTAAGAGCGGGTTTCTGGTGACTCAGTGCATACTGATTGACCACTGCAGGAAGTCTAGGGTCCGTTTTAAGGACAAGCAGGGGTGTGATGGGCCAGTACTTCTTTCAGGAAGTTGTACCTCTGGACACTGCCAGCGTTCTGTCTTAGTAACTCCACACTGGTGGATGCTGGAGTCAAGCGATGTCCGGCCCGCAGAGGTTGGGGCAGCTTTCCTGCAGGATGCTTTCTGGACTCTGCTAAGGCTAGAAATGACGGTGTTCTGTAGCCACCTCTAGTCCCAAAGATGGGGCCACTTAGCTGTTCTCAGATGTGGCCTGGGAAGGCCATGTCAGGCCAGTGTGCAGAACCACACAAATTCTGGCTTCTCTGTCCACACAGACCCTGTTCCTTCCCTCCTGGAATGATGCCCCCTGGGCTGGGGTGGCCATGGGTTGTGAGAATAAACCAGCCAGACAACGGTCCCTTGTCCTGGGTGTTCTAAATCTGCAGACAAGAGAACACAGGGCCCTCCCCACGGCGTTGGGGAGGTTAGCCTTTGTGATCTCTGTAGTGGGCTACGGACGCTGGTAGCCTGCCCCTCCTTCAGAGCTTTGCCCAGGGCAGAACTAAGCACTCCTCGATGATGTCCTGTTCATTGTAATATGTACTTGTTGCTAAGTGACAGTATTTTTCATGAAAGGATTATATTGTCTGTTTTATAACATCAATGGAGTGCTAAAGGTTATTAGACATTATTATAAAGTATAGAATTCCACATTTGTGTAAGGCTTGCTGAGGCAGGGGCACACAAGCTTCCTTCCTGTTTGTTTAAAAGCAGGTTTTCCTGTTACTTATTTTTTGATGTCTGAACACTCCTTGGCACCTTATTCCGTGGGAAATGTTGTTTTACCAGCTCAGATCACAGCAGCTGGGCACTGTCCACTTTCTCTGCTCCGGTGGCAGCGCCAGTCGGCATCGCCAGGCCCGAGCATCTCGCTCCTTGGTCATTTTGACCCGTGTGGTTTAAATCACACAGTTGGTGAATACAAGAACAGCCAGCTTCACTACCTCGGATCACCATTTTGAGCTTTCTTCCTCCGCTGCTTTGCTGACACACAGGATGCCAACAGCCCTGAAAATGAGTGTCTCTTCCTGGGTTTATTTCCCAGAGATAAGGTTGTAGTTGTACAAGAAAAAGGATGCAAAAATAAATCTAAAAAACGAAACATGGCAGCTGCCATCTTGTCAACTCTCCTGTGTCCTCAGAGTTAGCTCTATGGAGACAGACTCCTTGTGTTGAGTATTCCTGAGAACACGGGAAATTCTACATTGTATGGATGAGAAATGCTGAGAACAGTTAGGGGGTGCGAAGAAGCCTAGCAAGCCCGACAGGAGAGACAAACCCACAAATCGCTCCCTAGAGATATTCTGCAGGAGGGGGTTTTGCTTTTTGGACGGGGTCACACATAGCTATCTATGATGGCCTTAACTCCTGATCCCCCTGCCTCACACCCCAAGATTGAGGTCTCAGGCATACACAACTGGCTTCAGCGTTAAACTTGCAATGGCCTTCATGTGCTTTCTCCTGTGGGCCCAGCGTGGGACGTTACGTGTGTACTAGTGAATAGTTCACAAACATCGTGCCCATACACAAGGGCCGTTCAGTTGCACACCTCAAACCTTCCAAGTTTTGCTGGCTTTCTTCCCCATCAGCCCCCTGTCTTCTACAGGGTGGTTTTGGGGGCCGTTTGGCTGTACCTTCCTTCACCCTAATTTAAGTGCCAAATGGCTGCATTTGGGCACACACACACACACACACACATAAAATTTAAACATTTTTATCTTTAATTATATGGTGGTGAGGGGCAGGTATGTACAGTACACACAAGTGCACCTTGCCTGCAGAGGCCTGAGGTGTTGGGTCTCCTGGAGCTGGAGTTAGAGGTGTGTGTGAGCTGCCTGACGTGGATGCTGAATTAGAACTCAGGACTTCTGGAAGACCAGTCTGTGCTTTTTACCACTGAGTCGTCGCTCCAGCTCTGTGGTGATTTTGTTCTGCTTTTTGTTGTTTTTCTCGAGACAAGTTTCTCTGGGTAGACCACGCTGGCCTTGAACTCAGAGATTCACCTGCCTCTGCCCCCGAGTGCTGGATTAAACAGCTTTTGTTTTTTTTATTTTTTATTTTATTTTTTTGTTTTTTGAGACAGGGTTTCTCGGTGTAGTTTTGGTGCCTGTCCTGGAACTCACTCTGTAGACCAGGCTGGCCTTGAACTCACAGAGATCCGCCTGGCTCGGCCTCCCGAGTACTGGGATTAAAGGCCTGCTTTTTGAAATAGGGTTTTGATATATATCCCAGGCTGACCTCAAAATTCATGACCTTCCTGCCTCAGCCACGAGTACTGTTATTATGGGATGCACTACCACGTCAGGCTGTTTGAAGATGTTAGGAAGGACTTCATTGTAGAGCTGGGTGTGGTGGCACATGCCTGAATCTCAGCACTTCAGAGGGAATCAAGGCTGCCTCAGACGCATGTCCAGCCCCATCTACAGAGATCCAGGCTCGTGTACTCACTCTACAGCACACAGTTATCTCGGGCAAGGCCTTGGGGTCATCTCTGGCAACCTCACGAGGCAAAACTTCTGTGCTTCACTGACAGGAAGATGGCTGAGCTGGTTCTCGAGGATTTGTGAGGTAATGAGTGTGAGCCTTGGAGTTCTAGTGTGTGTGAGGCTATCCCAGCCCTCAGGAGGAGCTGGGAGGAAGGCAGCGAGTCTCGGGAAGGTGGAGAATGGCCAGGCAGGTCACACTCAGCAGGAGAGAAGAGCCCAGCAGTGTGGGGTATGGCTTCGCAAGAGCGTGTGTCTCTCCCTTGTGGTAAGGAAGGCCTGGGGGTCAGTGGGAAAGCTTGGCAGGGTGGCAGCGTGGCAGGGTGACAGTGTGACAGCGTGGTAGAGGGACAGCGTGGCAGGGTGACGGTGCCTTTGGCATCACTTTCGCTCCCAGTCTGGCTGCTCTGGATCCCGCCATCTCAACTGTCTCCGGTCGGAAGAAATCACCTGCAGACTGCCGGGCCGCCGCTGGTGAAGGGAACCTGGACCCGTTACATCTCCTCTTCTCCGTTTGCTAAGCTTAGCCCTGTGGTGAGGTACTTCAGAGGAGGCTGGCCAGCACAGGTCACTCGCTGTGATCCCAGGCTCACCAGCACGTCACAACTGCGATCAGGTCGACTAATCGTCTTGGTATCCTTGGCTCCTGGGAAAGCAGAGTCCTGAGTGCTCTCTGGTAGGTGGCCTGGTAGGCATGACGGGCTGGCAGAGGGCACACGAGCCGTAGCATGTCGCTGGTGGAGCCCTGGGACTTGTCCTGCCCTCTAGGACTCACCAGCTGCACTCTTTTGGAGGCATCTATCAGGAGCCCTCCGAGGAAATAGTCCGTTAGGCAAATGCTCTTGGGAGTGGCCCAGGAGGAGCTGCTGGTCACCCGGAGAGCCCTGGCTTCTCCAGAGGCAACTTTGGGAAGAGCATGGGGGAGCTGTTTGGCTAAGGCGGTTTGGAGCATCTCAGGGACACTGTGAGAAGGGACATGGGGACATGTGTGCTAGCCTGGCTAGCTGGTGGTCCGTGTGCTGTCTGTCACAAGAGGAACAAGCATGGAATGGAGACTGCAGACCAGACCCTGGGCCTGGCCACCACCCTACCCAGCTGTCACCCCACCTCGTGACCCTGAACAAACTGCAGGTGTAAAGTGGGAGGGGCTTGTTCTACTGTATCACAGGATTGCTACATTTCCTAAGAGGTGCACAATGTGGAAAGTTAGAGCGCCCTACAGTGAGGTTCTGTGTGAGGATCCTTTCAGTAGGGAGGCCTCCTTCATGACTGGTTAGTTAGGGACCAGTTCTCACCACCCCTTAAGTGAGATTTTGGCAGGCAGTACCAGACTGTGTAGGTACAATGTTAATGAGGAATTCCTAAGAACACACACAGACCACGACCTCCAGCCCAAAGGCTTTCTAACCTGGAGACTGGGGAGCCTGCGGAGGAGGAAGACGGCACCACAACCCCTTAAAGGACAAGAGACTTGGCGCCCTCTTTTCAGGAAACGTTTATTGTTGCTCCAAGGACGAGAGCTCGTAGTTGGACACAGCCTTCAGAGCAAGTCCCGCATGGCCTTGCCGAGCTTCAGAATCTTGGACTTTGTGGACATATCGACGTATTTCTCCCCAATTCGGACGATCATCCCACCCATGATTGACGGGTCAGTCTGGGAAAGGAAACAGGTTGTAAATGTGAAAACACAGGAGTCTCTCTCTCATCAAGTGGGAAGATGAAAAACCCCGAGAAGGCTCACTACAACGGACGGCCACCCCAACACAGACGGGAACTACACAGGGGTCGGAACCACGCACGCCTAAGCTCTACCTCAGCACCAACACTCCACAGCCATGGCCAAGTCAGACAATGCAAGGGACCAAACCT